AAGCGTAAACAATGTCAGACTGGAATTTTTATTTATTTACTTACTTACTTACGTATGTACGTATGTATGTATTAATATAATATTCGATTATTTAATAATAAAATAATAATTAATTAGAATAAAAATTAATTATTTTTATATTTTTATTAAATTTTATTGTAATATTATTTAAATATCAATATAAATATTTATATAAATATTTTATATTGTTTAATTTAGAATAAAATAATTTAATTTCATACAATATTCTACAATAATATAAAAATAAATAATATAAAAAATATTTATATAAGAATATTTTCGATATTTTTAACGTCAAACTAACTAATAATAACAACACACACCAGTGCAGTCTGGTTCATATTTACTTTTTATAGCTTTCCCAGATGCAACCCTGGCATGCATCTAATTTTGCTAGCTTCATAGATGACAGATGAATTTGCATGATACTGCATCAAAACAAACAAAAAAACTATATATATATATATATATATATATGGAAAGCATTTTCTCTGACCTTTTAATTATTTTTCTACACTAATTACACACAATGAAATGCTAAGTTGTGTTTTATTATTTGCATTTATAAAGTTTTTGCACACTCTTTGCGACCCTATATGAAAAGAACTGTGACCCATTTCTGGTTCATGACCCAACAATTGAGAACCACTGACATCGACTCTCTTCTCGTAAACAGAAAACATGTCTATTATTGCACCATTAACACAGCATAGTGCAACCTCTGCAAATGCATGGCAGTTTCTTTGATAGCTGATTAACTTTATCAGCGGTCGCTCGGGTTATTCGCTGCAAATGCAAATGTAATTTAATTGGACAATCTGCTGAGTGCATTTGAGGCTGCAGAGTTGTGAAGCTCACATTACTGCAGGTGCTTTGGCTGACACTTAATCACATTGTTATTTAAATTCGCCATGTCTCATTTAGCAACTACACTGGGAATGCACAGAAGAGTGGCGGACATTCTTCACAGTGTTTTTGCACAATACTTGTTAGGACATGTGTAAAACAAGTACACTCCATACGCCATATTACAGCAAATAAGATGCACACAACATTGCAGAATTTATATGAACACTTTTACACAACATTAACTCGAAATATTTTGCAACCGAAAATATAGAAAATGAACACTATTCTCTGACCATGCTGGATATACTGTATCTTGGAACTGACATACTTCTGTTAATTAGCCAATCAGACACAGTGTAAAGGGACAGTTCACCCAAAAATGAAAATACTGTCATCACTTGTTCACCCTCAAATTAAAACCTAAAAGAAGATATTCTGAAGAATGTTAGTAACCAAAAAGGTGACAGAAGCCATTTGACTTCCATAGTATTTATTTTCCATACTATGGAAGTCAATGGCTACCAGAAATGTTGGTTACCAGCATTCTTCCAAATATCTTCTTTTGCAGACCTGCATAAGTTTTATTCTTCTGTTGAACACAAATTAAGATATTTTAAAGAATTTTGGTAACCAACAAGTTGACAGTTGCCATTGACTTCCATAGTATTTTTTTCCATACTGTGGAAGTCAACAGCTACCAGCAAATTATTTGGTTACAAGCGTTCTTCAAAATATCTTCTTTTGCAAACCTGCATGAGTTTCTTTCTTCTGTTGAACACAAATGAAGATATTTTAAAGAATTTTGGTAACCAAAACGTTGACAGTAGCCATTGACTTCCATAGTATTTTTTTCCATACTGTGGAAGTCAATAGCTACCAGCAAATTATTTGGTTACAAGCATTCTTCAAAATATCTTCTTTTGCAAACCTGCATGAGTTTCTTTCTTCTGTTGAACAAAAAAAAAAAAGATATT